CTCCCCCCCGCCCCCGCCCCACAACATGCACAGACACACACCCCAGCCAGGGCCACACTGTGTCACCGGTGTGCCTCAGCAATGATGCTGGCGTCCTGTGACTCCCATCGCCCTTCACCCTCTGCCTCAGACACCCGTCCTGAAGAGGGGTTGGGAGGGCACCATGGTGTCCTCTATTCCCGCTGTCTCTGTCCTCCAGACCTTTTCTAGGATAACCCCGTCCTCCAGCCCACGCACCATGCCCCCGATGCCCTGGTAAATCATCAAGCCACATAGGCACGTGCAGACTGTCCACCTCACCCCTTGGTTAGACAAGGTGGAAACCCCCTAACTCCCCTGAAAAGTCTGCTCTTGGATTTGGGGTATTTTTTTCTTTCTTTCTTTTTTAATTGTTTTATTGCTTAAAGTATTACAAAGAGTGTTACATATGTCTCCTTTTTTTCCCCACCCTTGACAATCCCCTGGCCTCCCCTACCCCCCAGTGTCTTATGTCCATTGGTTATGCTTTTATGTATGCGACAAATCCTTTGGTTGATCTCTTACCCTCCCCTCCTGCCCCGCAACCCTCCCCGGCCTTCCCGCTGTAGTTTGACAGTCTTTTCTAGGCTGCTCTGCCTCTGTATCTATTTCTGTTCATAAGTTTATAATGGTCTTTATTATCCATAAATGAGTGAGATCATGTGGTATTTTTCCTTCATTGACTGGCTTATTTCACTTAGCATAATGCTCTCCAGTTCCATCCATGCTGTTGCAAATGGTAAGAATTCCTTCTTTTTACAGCAGCATAGTATTCCATCGTGTAGTTGTACCACAGTTTTCTAATCCATTCATCTACTGATGGGCACTTAGGCTGTTTCCAACTCTTAGCTATGGTGAATTGTGCTGCTATGAACATAGGGGTGCATATATCCTTTCTGATTGGTGTTTCTGGTTTCTTGGGATATATTCCTAGAAGTGGGATCATGGGGTTAAATGGGAGTTCCATTTTTAGTTTTTTGAGGAAACTCCATACTGTCTTCCATAGTGGCTGCACCAGTCTGCATTCCCACCAGCAGTGCATGAGGGTTCCTTTTTCTCCACATCTTCTCCAGCACTTGTCGTTTGTTGATTTGTTGATGATAGCCATTCTGACAGGTGTGAGATGGTACCTCATTGTTGTTTTGATTTGCATTTCTTGGATGATTAGTGACTTTGAGCATGTTTTCATATATCTCTTGGCTTTCTGAAAGTCCTCTTTTGAAAAGTGTCTATTTAGGTCCATTGCCCATTTTTTGATTGGATTGTTTATCTTCCTTTTGTTAAGTTGTATGAGTTCCCTATAAATGTTGGAGATTAAACCCTTATCGGTGATAACATTGGCAAATATGTTCTCCCATGCAGTGGGCTTTCTTGTTGTTTTGTTGATGGTTTCTTTTGCTGTGCAGAAGCTTTTTATTTTGATGTAGTCCCATTTGTTTATTTTCTCTTTAGTTTCCAATGCCCTAGGAGCTGTATCAGTGAAGAAATTGCTTCGGCATATGTCTGAGATTTTGTTGCCTTTGGATTCTTCTAGAATTTTTATGGTTTCCCATCGTACATTTAAGTCCTTTATCCATTTTGAGTTTATTTTTGTGTATGGTGTAAGTTGGTGGTCTAGTTTCATTTTTTTGCATGTATCTGTCCAATTTTCCCCACACCATTTATTGAAGAGACTATCTTGACTCCGTTGTATGTTCTTGCCTCCTTTGTCAAATATTAATTGAAGATATTGGTTCGGGTCGATTTCTGGGCTCTCTATTCTATTCCATTGATCTATATGTCTGTTCTTGTGCCAGTATGAGGCAGTTTTGAGAACAGTGGCTTTATAATACAGCTTGATATCTGGTATTGAGATCCCACCTACTTTGTTCTTTCTCAGGATTGCTGCAGCTATTCGGGGTCTTTTTTAATTCCAGATGAATTTTTGGAGAGTTTGTTCTAGGTCTGTGAAATATGCCATTGGTATTTTAATGGGAAGTGCGTTGAATTTATAGATTGCTTTGGGTAGTATGGACATTTTAATGATGTTGATTCTACCAACCCAAGAACATGATATGTTCTTCCATCTGTTTATGTCTTCTTCTATCTCTTTTTTCAACGTCCTGTAGTTATCTGAGTAGAGGTCTTTTACCTCTTTAGTTAAGTTTATTCCTAGGTATCTTAATTTTTTTGGTGCGATGGTAAATGGGATTTTTTTTTTTAGTCTCTCTTTCTGTAAGTTCACTATTGGTGTATAGAAATGCCATAGAATTCTTGGCATTAATTTTGTATCCTGCTACATTGCCAAATTCATTTATTAAGTCTAAGAGTTTTTTGATGGAGTCTTTAGGGTTTTTTATGTATAATATCATGTCATCTGCAAATAAGGACAGTTTTACTTCTTCTTTTCCAATTTTGATGCTTTTTATTTCTTCTTCTTGTCTAATTGCAATGGCTAAAACTTATTTTTACCAGTTGGGTATTTTTTTCAAATCACTGTCCAGACCTGGGGTGGATGCGGCCTTAGGTGCAGTGACAGAAGGTAGGTGCAGTGACAGAAGGTAGGTGCAGTGACAGAAGGTAGGTGCAGTGACAGAAGGTAGGTGCAGTGACAGAGGCTAATGTGCCGATCCAGGAGCATGGTAGGCTCGCTGTGATCTGCTCTCTATGCAACTCTGTGCATAACAGGATATTAGGTGGGACTTTGCCCATTGCCCCAGAACTGGCGGCTGTACCCTGAGGCTGAGGGCGAGGAGGTGTTAAGTACCCTGCAGTTCTAAGAAAACCACTGACACCTGGTCACACACCTTCCCCAGGGCTGAGTGACAGAACCAGCCCTGCCCCGCCCCCCGCCGCCCACCATGTCAACCCCCCCACTCCTGTCCCTATAAGGAGAAAACTGGTGGCAGAAAAGGGTGGTAGAAGTGGGTGGGATTGATGGGGAGGTGTGAGGGGAACCAAGGAGGGAGCTCCCAGAGAATTATATGAGGAAGGGGAGGCCAGCCCCACATTTTCTTTTTTTTCTTTTTTTTTTTTTTTGAGTAACAAGAATGTTTATTTATTTATTTTATTAAATATATTTTATTGATTTTTTTATTTTTTTTTTACAGAGAGGAAGGGAGAGAGATAGAGAGTTAGAAACATTGATGAGAGAGAAACATCAATCAGCTGCCTCCTGCACACCTCCCACTGGGGATGTGCCTGCAACCAAGGTACATGCCCTTGACCGGAATCGAACCTGGGACCCTTCAGTCCGCAGGCTGATGCTCTATCCACTCAGCCAAACCAGTCAGGGCAACAAGAATGTTTATTGACTGGCTCCTACATAAAGCCCCAGTCCTGGAAGCCATCAACAGACTCCACGGCCTTCACTAACCTTAAGGTCACTGACCCTTTTTCTGCTATAGAAGCGATGGGCCCCACATTCTTGAAGGGGGTCCACTAGGCAGCAGACCAGCCGAGCAAGGGCAGAGGGCGCTGGAGAGAAGTGGCAGGGGAGACAGGGCGTGGCACTGGGGCAGCAAGGACATCCCAAGGATGTGAGAGCACCCAGGGTCAAGTTCAAACCTGCTGCCAACGCAGCAGCGTCTCAAGAAGTTTCCAACCACAGTCACTCACCACACCCAGGCCCCCCACCCCCCTGAGTTCTGTGATTGAGCATCGACCTATGAACCAGGAGATTACGGGCTGCCTTGCAGAGGTCAGTCACCCTGCAGAGGCCAATCACCCGCCCAGACACTCTTCTGTCCTGCAAGGTGCCCGTTGGTGGCCTTTGCTGCTGGGGACTCTCACCCGAGGCCACTTCAATGTGTCAGGGACGTTTTCATAATGGGAGAAAGCCAGGGGGAAAGATGGGGTCTGGACGGCTTCTTCCCAGGAGGCTGCGGGCTCACATGCCTCCAGCTGCCCACACCAGGAAGATGGCGTGGGGCGGGCTGTGTCAAGCCCCCGACGCCACTAAAAGTCTCAGGATACCCATCCCGAGGAATGCTGCCCCTCCCTGGCATCCGCTGAACTCCATCAGCCCGCTCACATGCTCCCCCCGGGAGAAAGGAGCCTGGCGGTGCCCACTTCAGAACTGGAGGTGTCGGTACTTTCACACTGCACTCTCCTTGGTGGGGATAAATCCTGCCGGAGCTGTTATTACTGCGATGCAGGTCTATCGTTGTCAGTCACTTTCTCCTCTGGGCTCCCAGAAATGTTCACATCTACGTGTTTCTGTGCCCTGCAGTGAGCATTGTGATTTATAAATCACCCCACTCTCTCCCCCGCTCCCCCCTTCAGCAGTGAGGTCAAAGGGCACAGACATTGCCCAGCCGGTGTGGCTCAGTGGATTGAGTGTCGTCCTAGGCACCATTCCCAGTCAGGGCACATGCCCAGGTTGTGGGCTCCATCCCCAGTGTGGGAGGCAGCCCATTGATGTTTTTGTCTCATCAATGTTTCCCTCTCTCTCCATCTCCCTTCCTCTCTTTCTAAAATCAATAAAAACATATTTTAAAAAATAGAATGGAAAGGGCACAGGCATTCATATCTGGCACCTCGTAGATCCCCGGGTGTGTTTGTCACATTGGATTTCATTTAGGAAGCCTCTATCTATCATACGTATTAATTGGCTTTGGTGCTGCTTAGCAAACAACCCCCACAACTCAGGGGCTTAACACAGACCTCTTGCTGCGGGGACGTGTGGCCGCCGTGCTCTGCTCCCTGTGTCTTCTCGTTTGGTCCCCAGGATGCCTGGGCGGAAGGAGTCCTGGTCTGGGACGTCCTGTCTGTGGCTGAGCAGGGACAGTTAAAGGCTCAGCCCAACCACTGTTCACAACGGCCCATGTCCCTTCCGCTCACTTACCACCGGCTGGGCCACCTGTGTGTATGTGTGTGTGTGTGGGGGGGGGGGGGGTCCCGCCTGCAGGTCACACAGCAAGGACAGGCTTGTGTAATCACACGGGGAAGGAGGGAAAAGTTGCAATCATCACACCACAGAACAACAAAGCAGGCAGTTTTTTTTTTTTAAATTTTTTATTGTGGTAAGAGCCCTTAACACGAGGCCTACCCTCTTAAAGGATTTTTTAGTGTACAATACAGGATGGTTATTTATAGGCATGATGTTGTAAAGCAGACATTTAGAACTTACTCATCTTGTATAACTGAAATTTTACACATGTTGCTAAATGGGTAAAGGAAATGTGATATGTACAGAGCGGAATATTCTTCAGCCTCAGGAGAGAAGAAAAGCCTGTAACATGGGAGAACCGGAGGGCATTATATTAAGTGAAATATGCCAGGCACAGAAGGACAGGCACTGCCCGATGCCACTTACAGGAGATATTTAAAGTAGTCAGACTCATAGGTGAAATGGAGGGAGTGGTGGTTGCCAGAGTTGGGGGGAGGAGGAAATGGAGTTTTTAACCAACATGTTTTTTTAAAACAATATGATTAGAGCATTGACTCATTTTCAGAGTCATAACAATACCTACATTTCATCACCAAAACAGAATTGAATGCATTCATTGGGATAATACACATACCGGAAGGAGAAAGACACCCCCCCCCCCCGCCCCCCGTCTCTAGCCATGAAACAAGAAAGCAAAACCACAGTAGCTCCCAGCTCCTGAGAGCCAGGTTCCGAAAGCCCGTGTTTCTTGCATCAGATCAGACGTGCACCGGGTACCGCGGATGCACATTCTTAACCCGGCTCACCCGAGACAAGGTCTTTGCTGACTTAGGTGAACTAATCCCCTTCTTTACAAAGAAGGTTAAAGCTTTGCCTAGGGGTCAGCTTGATTTAGGAATTCCCACTGGCCAAAGGGGACAATCCAAGCATCAACACGGACATGGACATGGACAAAGCTGGAAGCATTCAAATATGATTACATCTATGCCTTCCTAGACTAACTGCTGCAAAACAAGATGCCTGGCAGCAAGTCAGAGAATGAAGACAGGGCTGGGCTGGGCTGGGCTGCCCGCTGTGGGGAGCGCTGGGATCAGCTGCTGCTATTTAGGTCGGATGCCTGGGCATCGCAGACCGCCACCCCCCTGACCTACAGCTGTGTCTGCTGAGCTGCAGCCCAAGACTGTAAGCTCAAAATCAGAATTGTCTCCATGATGAATACAGCACTTTCAGGCTGGGCGCAATAATAACTCTTAAACTGTAGGTTAGCACATTCACAAGTTGCAGTTTTCATCTTTAACTTTCTTTTTTAATCTATTGTTGTTTTTTCCCCCCACTGACCCCCTCCTCCCCACACCCGCACCTCCCAAGCCTTTGCCACACTATTGTCTGGGTCCATGGGCTATGCATAGGCATATAAATTCCCCGGTTAATCTCACCCCCCAACTCTACCTCCATCCCCGTGGAAAACATTTGTATCTCCACCCCCCAATACAAAGTCATCTTCATCGAGGCCGCCCTGCCTGCTGGTCTGGAGACACAGACACATGGCTGTTGTGTGATTGGCAGTGCGGGGGCCTCTGTCCTGTGCCCAGGCCCCTTCTCCGTCCTGAGGACCCAGCCCAGGGCTCCCACCCACTGTCTTCCCGCTTCCCGGCCACTGAGGGGTCCTTGCTGTACAGTTGCCTTCAGGGTCTCCCAGGTTTATTCTCCTGGACCCTCCACAGACTGGCCTTTGAAGTAGGCTCGCCCCACCGGCAGGGGGTGTGAGAAGGGCTTTGGGGAAGGCCTGGAGAGGCAGAGGCAGCAGAAGCTGCACCGTCAGGTCTGCAACGCAAGGCCTCGGGAGGTGCTGAGGGTCCTTTCTGGCCTCCCCCTCAGCCGATGCTGGAAACCTTCCTGGGGTGGTCTCACTCTTGCTATGGCCCTGCACCCCTGATGGGGGAACTCACTGGTCCCCACCCTTTTTCCTAATCATTGCCTCCCACCCTCCCCTTTCCCTGGCAAGACCAAGCGAGGGCTTTATTTTTCATCTCATTAGGGAAGGTGCATATTTCACAAACAAACATCTGTGCACATTTTTATAGAGGGCGGTGTGGCCCAAGAAACATGGGGGCAGTGGGACAATAGGTTTAACAGATTTCAAAGGAAGGGTGCCTGGTTGTTGTAGATAGAACAGAATAAAGTGAGGATGTGCCATGCACTTACACAGAAGAGGATCATGGGACCCAAGCAAAGCTGTCAAAAAGTGAGTACAGTCCCTTAGCTCAGGACCTGGGAAGACTTCAAAGTCAAATAGAGGTGGGAGGTGGGGCTCCGGGCCACTCCCTGCCCGGTTGAGCGAGCAAACTCCTTGCCTGCATCCCCACCCAGGCCCAGCCATTCTCACGCCTCCCTCCCCCTGCACGTGGCCGAGCCCACTCACCCACAGTTGTCTCACTGGGCACTTGATTAAAGAGACTGATAGAATCAGAGCGAGTGAAGAAATGGTGAAGGCGGGGGCAAGAGCGTAAGCATCGGCAATGAGGCATTTTCCAGGAACTGAGACGAGCTGGCTGCAGTCAGTCTCTACCCACAGCGCTTCTGGAATATGCCCTGAGTACACACTGGCTGTACAAGGAGTGACATAAGTCTGTCTCGGTACACGCAACCCTGAGGTTCCTGGGCACACACTTTAGAGATCTGCAGGTCTGTGTAGTTCAAAACCCCTGAGGCTTATTATCCTAGATGATGGCTATCTCCCTTGAAAGTAACAAGCAAATTGCTGCTCATTTACAAACCCACTGAGACGTCCTGCTCTCCCGTGGAAGGGGTGTAGGTGGAGCTCACGCGATCGGCGGTCTCCCGGTAGAAAATTGGGCATTGTTTGCAGAGGTGCTTGGCGATGTGCTTTCGGAAGAACACGGAGAGGTACCGTCTGAACTTCTCCCCGACGAAGGCATAGATGATGGGGTTGATGCAGCAGTGGGTCATGCCCAGGGTCTCCGTCACCTGCATGGCTCGGTCCAGCTGGCTGGTCCTCTTGCAGGTACTCAAGTCAAAGAACTCCTGGAAGGTGTCCAGGAGCAGGACGAGGTTGTAGGGAGCCCAGAAAAGGAAGTAGACGATCATGATCACGAAGATGAGCCTCACGGCCTTGTGCCTCTTCTTCTCGTTGCGACACCGAAGCAGGGTCTTCAGGATTCCCGAGTAGCAGACGACCATGACCAGCAGGGGCAGGACCAGGCCCAACAGGGTCCTCATTATCGTTTGGAAATTCTTCCAGCCGACTGGGAAGTAAGGGCCGCAGGAGTAAACAGACTCGTCAGCTTGGGATTCGGTGAAGATGATTCCTGGGAGAGAGGCGAACACAGCCACCACCCAGGTGACCCCACTGGTCACCACCCCAAACGTGACCGTCCTGGCTTTTAAAGCAAACACAGCATGGACGATCGCCAGGTACCTGTCAATGGTCAAGAGGATGATGAAGAAGATGCCTCCAAAATAACCAATGTGGTACATCCCTGTGAAGACTTTACACATCACGTTCCCCAGGGCCCACCAATTCGCAGCGGAATGAATCCACACTGGGAACGTCAGAAGGAAGAGCAGGTCGGAGAGGGCCAGGTTGAGCAGGTAGATGTCAGTCATGCTCTTCAGCTTTTTGCAGTTGATCAGGATGAGGACGACCAGCAGGTTGCCCACAAACCCGAAGATGAACACCAGCGAGTAGAGCGGAGGCAGCAGCCTGCCTGCGATCTGTTTCACGTCGTCCTTCACGCAGGGTGCGCTGTCGTCCCCATAGTCAAAGACGGTGGTGGGGTCTGCACCGTCCACCCGGATGTTTGTTGTAAGCAGAGAGTGAGATGTGGTCAGCATGTTGTGGCCGAGCTGGATCAACGTGTCATTGCTTCCCATCCTCCTCGGTCCTGCAAGCAGAGAACAAGATAACACAACGTAACTGCTCCAATTCTCCGTCTTAAAAGTATTCTTGCCCCTTAAGCAGCATCCAGTCTTTGTCTTTGCTTCAAAGTCATCTCCTTGAAAGCATGCGTGCTAGTGTGCCACTTCCCTTTATTCCTAGTAGAGAAGCTCGTCATCTTCCCCAACCGCTCTTTGCTAACACCACTGGCCACCCCAGAGAGCCCGACTCTCATTATAAGGCGAATACGCTGCACACTTGCTCTCTCCCTCCTCTGCAGGTGGCCCATTCCGGGATGATAATCCAGGAGACTCTGCTTGAAGGCTCCTGCAAGCACTCTTCTCCGATAAGAGGGGCGCAAGAGAAACCTCGGCCTGACCTTCCCCTCTTGTAGCTTGTGTTGGTGCTTAAGACCAAGACTGACGGACCCAGAGAAGTGGAGTAAATCTAAGCAGCGTCCCCAAGTCCCAAACCCACGCTTGTTATCTGAGAAAAGTGAGGCCCTGTGTTTAAGCCGTGATGAGTTGCCTTTTCTGTGACCTGCAGCCCAAAGTATTCTAACTGATAATCTTCTCAACTTTCTGCCTTCATCATTTTGCCAAAATGACTCTTGCTAAGGTTGCCATGACAACCCGATATTTAAATGCCCTGGCTTCATTTCAGTTTCATCCTCACTGAGCCGTCAATCCTTTTGATAACTCCTTCCGAGTAAAACAGGTTAGCTCCTCTCACCACTTCTTGTGAATTTTCTTCATTGGTGTCTCCTCCCCTTGCCCACACTGTAAGAGTCCCCAGGCACCATTCTTGGCTCTCACCTCTTTACCTTTTTCCTCTCCATTCTCTCTCCAGTGTTCTTCCTGAATCGTGTCACCTAATCTCAGGGTTCTAAGTCCCCTGAATGCTAGTGCTTCCCAAAGCTCTGTCTTCCAGTCTCATCTTTCAACTTCTATACCTCGGAGTGGAATTTTCCACTGTCTACTGCGTATCTCCCCTTGGACTTATCTATTGAGCGCCTCTTAGGAGCCATGCTCTGGTTTAGGCATTAGAGCTACAGCAGTGGGCAAAGTGGGTATCATACAGGCACCTCAAATTCCACTTCGCCCACACTGCACAGCCCTGGAAACTTGCTCTGACCTGTGGATTCTTATTTGGCTGTTGTCCTTGACTACACTACCCAAGAAGCAGAATTGGGCTCTTAGGAACCAGGTCTTAGGAGTCAGACAGACCTAGATTTGACACGTTGTGTAACTTGGGGTTAATTACTTCTTTAACTATCAGTTTCTTTATAAAAGAAACTAGTATAAAATATTAACTAGGCTGGGCTGTCATGAAGATGACTGGAGGCAAGGACTCAGTGCAGCACCTGGTGTGGAGACACGCTCTGTGTTGTTATGATGATGCCACATGACTTCTCCCTCATAAACTTCTACCTCTGAGATTCATCCCTCTGAGCCTCTTTCAATGGCCACTTCCTTGCCTCAGATGCTTCTCACTCTTGCCTTTGTTGTGGTCTCTCGTTTGCTCAAGGTTATTCCTGGCCATGCTCCCTTCACTCTGCCTTCTCTCAAACTGAAACTGGATCGTGCCCTTCTCAGCTTAAAACCTCCCGTGGCCCCATGATGTGTATGTGATGGGACTGCAAAGGCCATGCCCAGACTACTCATCACGCTTTTTCTAAACTCACTTCTCAGCTTCACCTCCAATCCCTCCTCAAATGCCAGGCCCTCTGCTCCAGACGTAGCTCTCTTCTCTCCATTTCCCCAGACTCATCATTTCCTTCAGGCTTCCATGGTTTGCACATACTGGCCCTTCTGCCTAAAATGGCTGGTGAGCTCCCTCCCATTCATCCTCCACTACCTCCTGCTCAAATTCCCCTTCTCTGAAGCCTCCTCCTTTATTGTTGCATGCCTCTAAGTAAGCCCATATCACCTTATCTTCTACACACTGTGAGCGCCTTGAGGGCAAGACCTAGATCATGTTTCTGTCTCCAGCTCTTATGATGGCGCCTGGCTAACGGAGGCACCAATAAAAAGTATGACATTGAACATCATCAGGCTTGATTCTCAGGACTATTCTTTCTTTCCTGGCAGTGACTTTGAATTTGTTTGTATCTCCATACACATCTTATCTTTTTATATGTTTATACATTCTCTAATTCCTCCTGTGATTGGTACATTTCACAGATCTTGCATTTCATATCACTGAGCCAGATTCTTGAAATCTGCAGCATCTACCCAACATCTCTGATCAAGTGCATCCATCCAAAGAATTAAAACTGTAATCACTTGCAGCCTGCTAGTCCTCTGTTAAGCTCCAGGTTCTATGCTAAAACTTTTCAGGCATTAATTAATTTATTCATGGCAACAAATGTGTGAGATAATGATGCATTTTACAAGTGAAGAAATGCAAGCATGGGTGGATTAAATGACTTTCCCAAACCCACAAAGCAAGCAGTGGCTGGGCTGGAACTGGGACCCTGGGCTGTTCAATTTCAAAGGGCTCAGGGCTTTCATCTCATTTCCAGGCTCTGAGAGCAGAGATGGGTGTAGAAGAACAGGTAACAGATTTTCTAGGTATTTCCCCATGCCTGAGAATCCACACTCACCACATGAGCATGTCCACCCGTGCATGTACAAGCATGCCCTCCCTCCTTACCTTGCACCCCCCCCCCCCACTCCCACCAGAGCACAGGCTCCATGAGGGCAGAGATCTTCGGCTTTGCCATGAAGTATCACAGTGTCCCAGAACCCAACCCAGCACATAGTTGCTACTAAATAAATATCCGTGGAGTAAGTGGTTAACAGAACTAGCAGGCTGCAAGTGACTGAGCAACAAATGCTCCACCGAGGACAAGATGCCCAGGTAATCCAGCGAGAGACCTTTGAAAAATGAGTATACTGGGGACCCACGCCCCTAAGTGCAGCAAGCTCTTGGGCGGCTCTATATTTAATCAGGGTTTAGTTTCCTCTTTTATATGGGAAAGTGTGGACTGAAGCAGTGGTACTCAATGCCGCACTCCAGTATCACACAGGAAGTCTGGCCGTTAGAATTATCTAGCCCAGACCCTCGCTCTGATGATCCAGATCAGGGTGAGGGAATACGAGGGGGTGACTTGCCTCAACCCCTTCCACCGTGTGTTCTCTGCACTTTGTTGTCTACCTGCACTGGCCTCTCAAAGGCCAGCCGCCTGCCTGCCAGCTTTCTCCTGTCACCCCAGCAACTTAGCTCCTACCGCAGCAGACACTTAGCGAGGTGGCTGGAATGCACTGGCCGAGGTGTCATTGTCAAGTGTCAGGACACGTCACCCAGAACCAATGAAAAGCTGCCTCTCAGAAAAGTAAGCCCCTCACTTCGGCCTCTGTGGGCCTCCTGGTTTAAGGCAAGAGGCACATTTTGGTTTGGAGCCTGGACTAGAGGGGGAGAAAATTCTGGGTAGAAAGTTCCAGCTCTTCAAAGCCCTTGGGAGTTGGGAGGGACAGAGTGAGAGGAGCAGTCGTTGAAATGCCTGGCTGTCCTCACTTTCTTGATTGTTCTTTTTTCAGCACAGCTCTCTGAATCACCTGGGCCCTGAGGGGTGGTCTCCCCCTGCTTTGCACTTCCTCATTGTCACCATGGTCTCGCTCAACATTCTGGGGCAGATGCCACCCTCCCCCCTCTCTTTCCACTTTTCTCACCCCCATGTTCCTGGGCTGTGCTGACCCTCAGAGAGCTCCCAGTCCCTGCATCTCCAGAGCTGAGATGCTCGGAGCCCATGATCCACAAAGTGATGGAAAATGCACGACTCACCAGGGGATGGCTTCTTCCAAGTGGCACTGGTCTGTCAGGTTTCTCAGCAACTGACCCAAGCAGATCTGGAGGTAGGAACTTGGTGTGCAGAAGTAGGAAATAAAGTTTCCTGCAGAGGAGAAGGCGGGGATACAAGAGTAAGGGTAAAGGTTTGAAGAAAACAAGAAGAGTCATGCAGTTCTTCTTTGCCAGCCGGGAACAGTGTCCGCTAGGTTGAGGTCTCCAGAGTAGGATTGATTTTGAAATCTTGCTTATGCAACCTTGAGAGTAAGTCAGACACACCCTGTACGTCTGCTCCTGTGTCTAACGACTCAGAGCTTCTTTATTTTGTGGGTCTCTATATCTAGAAATCTCTTACTCTCTCTCCTGCCAGTGATAATTTGCATGAAACGAGCTAAAGAGAGCTTCATGAGGATACATGCTAGCCAGGGCTGTTGATGATGGTGGAGGAAATATAATGAGGTTTTATGTGCAAAGTGCCCTGGTTTCAGTGGCATCATGGATTTAAGATCAGGTTAGAAATTTCATTAAAGAGAGCTTTTTAATGAAAGGAAATGCTCCATGGTCTTTTGTGTCAGAGATATCCTTAGTAAGAAGGGTCTCGGTGATAGGTCTTACTACTCAGAAGTTTTGTTAAAACATCATTGAGATTCTATGGAAATGGTGGAGGAGGAAGCACCAGGAATCTCTCTCCCCACCTAGACAACAATTTTCCTGGGAGAATCAGTCTGATTTAACTCTTTGGGAACCCTTGAGTCTGTTGATAACTTTCAGGAGTAGACTTGCCTGGTCAATCGCAGTTAGCTTTGGTCAATTTCAGCTCCTAACACAATGGCAGCTGCTCATCTCCCTGCACATGTTCCAGGTGGCCTTGCACATGTTCCAGGTGGCCTTGGCACACAACTTGCAGGAGCCAGGGCGGGCAAAAATTGGACTCTGCTCTCCAGATATGAGGGAATCTGTGCTCAGATCACTGGCTGCTGATTCTGATCTCAGAGGTGCACAGAGGCAGATAGTCATTGCCGTTGCATTTCCCCCCATTGCTGCAAGCCCATCCTCCTCTGACTGAAGTGACTTTTAGGAGATTTAAAGGGCCAGTGTCCTTTATTTTTCTCTTTTTCCTCGTTTGGAAGCCAGACATTAAAGACCAGGAGATTTAAAAGCAACTGCAATTCTGGGGAAAATTAGAAAGTGACCCATACATACCCAAGGAGAGGCACAGGCTCAGAAGAGACCGAAGAAGCCTTAATTTCACACCTCAGGCTAATCCTTGGCACAGACACAACTTACAGCAATTTAAAAATATAACAGAAACCATCAAACCCTGGAGAAGAGTTGTCACATTATTAGAATCAAATGCCCAGTTTTCAACAACAATAGCAAAATCATAAGTCATGCAAGAAACATGAAAGTATGATCCATTCGAAGGAAAAAAATCAACGGAAACTGTTCCTGAAAAAGATCTGATGGCAAATTTACTAGACAAAGACTTTAAAATAGTATCTTAAAGATGCTCAAAGAACTAAAGGAAGATATGGAGGAAGTCAAGAAGACTATGAAAGAACAAAATGTAAATATAAATAGAGAAAACCCTAAAAAATAAGACCAAAAAATTCTGGAGCTGAAAAATATAATAACTGAAATAAAAAATTAATTATAGGGATTCAAAAACAGATTTGAGCAGGCAGAAGAAAGAACCAACAAACTTTTAGATAGGATAATGGACATTAGTGAGTCTGAGGAATAGAAAAAACGTTGAAGAAACATGAACATAGGTTAAGGAACCTGTGGGAGTTCCAGGGGCAAAGAGGGAGAGAGAAAGGAGCAGAGAGAATATTTGAAGAAATAATGGCTGAAATTTTCCCAAACTTGAAGAAAGACATGACTATAAACATTCAAGAAGCTCATAAGCTCCAAATAAGATAAATTCAAAGAGACTCACACCAAGACACATTATAATCAAACTTTTAAGAGACAAAGACACACAGATAATCTTGAAGCAGCAAGGAGAAATAACTCATCACATACAGGGAATCCTCATTAAGATTAGTAGCAGATTCCTCATCAGAAACATAGTGCTATATCTGGCAAAATTGTCCAAGAGTGAGGGAGAAATCAGGGCATTCCACAATACATAAAAACTGATAGAACTTGTTACCAATAGGCCTGCCCTGCAAGAAATACCCAGGGTAGTGAGGTGCCCAGTGACTAGCAGCAGTGGAGCTTTTAGGCCTATACTTGAAGGGTTATAGGATAAACAATATTCTGGAGTTGAGTTGAAAGTCAAAGGATGCAGCCATACTAGGACATTGGCAACTCAGGAGAAGAGCAGGAGCAGAAAGTACCCTAACCTTTGGTTTCTACTCTGATCTCCTGCTAGTGCCTACAAGTGCCTGAATGCACCAGACAGAGGGATAAATGGGGAATCTAGGTGATGTAGCCCATAAATGTTTCTTGCAGGGGCTCAGAGTGGATCTGGGGAGAATGGTAAATAACCACACAACTATCAGGCCAAACTTTTTTTTTTGTCCATTTGTTCTCACCTGGTCCATGTAGATAGTCAGAAAACTGGGAACCTGAGTAAGTATACCTTAGAATTCTTCATACACATGGAAAGAGTTAGGAAAGATGCTTTTCCTTAGGTTTGAGACTCCCATATCTACCTGTGGCACATGGTTTCTGAAATTCTCAGTCTAGAAGAGGAGGGTAGCGCTTTGAGCAGACTTTGGGGAAAGCATGTCACTAGCCTCCTATTTCTGGTTTGCCTGCTGACCAAGCAGGATCACATGAAAGTCATGGCCGTGATCAACTCAGGATGATCTGGGACAGGGATGAGGAGACACTCAATTCTTCCATAAACCAATGAAATAAAAATAGTTCATGCTTCTCCAAAGAAGAGGGAAGAACCAGACCTACACTGGCCATGGGAAGTTTAACATTCTTGTTTATTTGTAGCAGCAGAGTTGAGGGTTAGATTACTGAAGCTGAAAGTTAGGTTTGTTCTAAGAATCTCTCTGCCTTTCCATGAATGATAGTACTCAAATAAAAACATGGGAAAGAGCATGGTTGGAGAGAATTATTGCTCCAACAAGAAGACAGGCAAGGTTTACAACAGCCTGAGGGTACTTCTATGCCTCCTTGTAACTTCTTTACTGTGATGATTTGTTGACACCTTTAGAAGATAAATTCTTACTTTTTTTTTTTTCAATACAGATGCTTTTGATGACTGTGGTTTCTATGGTTTGCATACTTCCTGTGACCTACTAAAATAGATTAGTGAGTTCTAGGATTTTACATCTTCAATTTTGGTTTAAGACAATGATCTGGACTAATATAATGCCCATAGAAAAAGCACAATTATAAAGAATACTACAAAAATAATACAAATTATTATCACTATTATTATTGCATGTGATAAAATAACATAATAGGGCATATAGTCACAGCAAGAAAACCCAGAAAATGCAAACGATTTTTGAAAAGGAAGTATTAAGTAACAGAGGTCAGGTATGAATGTCTCCAAGTTCATCACCATCTCCAAGTGAACCAAAAATAGACAAGAATATGTAATGAAAAATAGAAATTAAAATGTTATCAACAATGGTTATTTATATCTTTTTTAACTTAGAGTGTAGTGGTAGCAGATTGGATGTTTCTATACTTTCAGGCCCAATGAACTTTGGGAAAATAGAGGTGAAGTCAGGATTTTTAATACATTCACTTCCTGAAAAGCCTTCTCAAGTGACTTAGGGGGTGCCACTGGAACCCTGTACTAGGAAGAGAATCTTGTGTTCTTCTATAGCCCAGATGTTTTAAACTGTTCTGTAACTAGACTTAGATCTTAGTTTACATGCCTCAGACATGATAACAGTGGGCTGGGGCTGTTTTGGGGGATGAGAAGCTAGAATTCATTCTTACCACCATTACATACCATTCCTTTCCCTTCCCCCGCCCAAGGCATGGTGCGTAGGAGGAGGATGGGGTGAGTGCCTGCAGGATGCGGTTTCATACATGGCACAGGGGGCCATAGATACTGACATCACCTACCATTTGAGTGTGGCTTCTGAGATGTCCCAGGAAGGGGCACAATGCTGTAGCCAACTGCAAGCAACCCAAATAGTGCTCTTTATTTGGGTATAGCTGTCATGAGAGAAATCCACAAAGCTAGATGTGGCAGAGATTGTAGCTGGAGGACATGACTGAGGCCTTGCACTTGGTGGGCAGTGGGAGAGACCTTAACTAAGTGTGGCTAGTTGGAGATGTACCCAACTGCTGCTGGCTTTGCAGAAACCATAAATATTTGGTGGTGGGGAAAGGACAAATTTAGGAAGAACAATTCCCTTGTAATGCACCTGGGGGGAGGGGGGAGGAATAAAGAGGGGGGGAGGAAAGGATTAGGAAGAACAATTAATTTGTAATGCAACTCAGGTCTATTATAATGCAAATATAATGTGTATGTTCTAAAGTAGTATATGCTAAAAGCCAAAGTTTTTTGTTTATTTTACAAGATCAACAAAGTTGACAAACCTCTACCTACATTAAGAAAAAAGAAAAGATATAAGTAACTAAACTCGGATATAAGTGGGGATATTACTACTGACTTTACAGAAATAAAAAAGATAAGAGAATACTACAAACAATGTTTACCAACCAATTAAATAACATAAATAAAATGGCAAATTCCTAGAAACAAATAAATTACCAAGAATTGACTCAAGAAGAAATAGAAAATCTGAAAAAAATCTGTAAAAAATAAAGAGATTGAATCAGAAATTAAAAACCTCCCAACAGGAAAACATCCAGGACCAGGTGGCTTTACTGGTGAGTTCTACCAAACATTTAAAGAAAAGTTAACATCAGTCCCTCTCAAAATCATCCTAAAAATAGAAGAGGAGGGAACATTTTCTAACTCATTCTATGAAACCAGCATCACCATGATAGGAAATTCAGACAAAGAGAACGGCAGACCAATATTCCTTATAAATACAGATGAAAAACGCTCAACAAAATGCTAGCAAACCGAATCAAACAGCATATTAAAAGGATTATATACTATGGCCAAGTGGAATTTATCTAAAGAATTCAAGGATGGTTCAATATGCAAAAATCAACCAATGTAATTACGCAACAGTAACAGAATGAAGGAAAAAATATGATCATTTCAATTGACATAGAAGAAGCATTTAACAAAATCCAACACCCTTTCATCACCAAAGCACTTAAAAAAGTAGGAATGTGAGGAACCTTCCTTAAAGTGATAAAGGGCATTTGTGAAACTCCATAGGTAGCATCAGAT